AGACATACTATTAAAATCAATGTTATTGCAAACTCAACACGGCTACTAATTATGATAGATACAGTTTTGTACATAAATTGCGTAATAATAATAAAATGCATATAAAAATAAATACAATAATTTACTTGAGCAAACTTATTTGTATAATAGAATTCATATAAATAACATGCATTTTTGCATGCAATCATACTTAACTTAATATATAATATTACTGTAACTATAAATAGGACTCTGAGCAAAATACAATTTTCCATACAATTACACAAGTCTCTGAATGTTGAGACAATAAGACTACACAAATAAATACAATTGTGTACACTATTAGTGAGTTATGAATTGAATTAAATGAAATACAAATGTCATGTATGTGTACATTATTACTATACAACCAAAATGTATTGTCTCTGAACGCGAAAAAAATGATTGCATTTTATTTCTATAGCTAAGTCTCTCTCTCTCTCTCTCTCTCTCTCTCTCTCTCTCGTCAATTATTTTCTCTATATTTTCCAGTCTTTTCATTTCATTTTGTCATTTATTTATTACTTCTCTCATGTCTTTTCATTCATACAGTACTATATTGTATAAAATAAATGATAAAATAATTCAATTATTATACTAGTAATTAAAATAATTCTTTAAAAATTACAATTTATTTTCATATAATGCTAGGTGAAAATAAAAAATAGCACATATCTTATAAAATTATAGCCACAATTATTTTATATAATTATAAATCAACCAGGGTCGTCCCTGTATAGCAATGACAATTGGCTTCATCTAACATGGCTTGAAATGATGTGACAAACCATTCAATATATAGAAAATATAATTGATTTGTTCAGCAATTCTGTATATTCTGCAGAATATTCTGTATAATGTGAGTGCAAATTGAGTGCAAAAATACTTTACTCGTTATTAGACAATAATTTTAATGAGCAAACAATTAGATAATAAAAACAAATGTTTCAAAAATATACATTTCATTACACATGTATTTTCCGATTCAATTATTATAAATATTTTACCGGTATATTGATAGGTGAGGTGATTAATAATAAATTTATATTTAATTTAAATTAATTAACTTAATTACCCTGTTTATTTGATAATTGGCAATTTTTTAATTTAGGCGTTAAATTAACAATAATTCATTAATTAATTCATGAATTATTGTATGAATAAATACAGTATCATAAACAAACACATAATTTATATACCCATCAAATTCTTATATAAAAAATTATCCAGGCATAATCTATAACAATTTATAATAACACACTTCATAAACAACTTCAATTAAACCAATTAAACACCAAACCCTGTGCCCAAACCCCTGTCCCACGAAAAACTCCATACCCTTCCCACATACACACACACAACTCATATCATAACACATGTCATCGACACCCTCTTATCCTTATCCTTAGCCACATCGGGAGCTACCGGTGCTGTCTTCGCCTCCTCGTCCATACTATTCGCCTGATAGGCCGACACCTCGGAGTGGGTGCGCCTCTCAAACCACTCGCGTTTCAGTGACTGTCTGTCGCTATTAGACCGTAAACTAAAGGACTTCAGGAGCGACCTCTTGGTGCTACCGGCGCCATAGGGCGGGCCCACGAACTCGACCCGGGTATCGAAATACAGTCTCACCACGTAAAACACCCTGGGCATTACTAGTAAAGTGTGTTTGGTGGTGAACAGGGTCACGTCGATTTTGTCGGCTATTTCGTCCTCATCCTTGGCGAGCACCGGTATGGTCTCAGCGCACAGATAGGTCCACCGGTGCTCGACTCCCGGTGCCCGCCACTCATCCCGCTCCATGAAAAACTCCAGGTGCCGTTTGCACGTGTATAGCGGCCCGTGGAGGTTGTGGTCATACATTATACGTATGTAATGGGACTCGAAGTTGAGCACCGGCTGTTTGCGGTTGAACACCAGGTGTTGTGGCTGCTCGTGGACTGACTCGTTGTCATCCCTGTCTTCCTCCACTTCTGTCAAGTCAGGAGTTAACAAATCAGGGGTTACGCCGATAGGGTCGTCGTTTCGTAAGGTTTGGACGGCGTTTGGGTGACAGGTGTCGGTGTTGGTGCTGATAGAGTGGCGATCCCTGGCCAGGGAGTTGTTGGCGTTTGTGGTGAGCGGGGGCGCCGGTACTCGAGTGCATACGAGGCGCAGGCATCGCAAGTAAAAGCCGATGTCATTGACGTTAACCATGAAATGGGTTTGGATTTCGTCCACTAGTTTTTGAAAGTAAAATAAGTTTTTAAATTAATATTTTAAGTGATTTTTAAATTATAAGCAAGGTAACAGTAGGTTAACTTATTTATCAACTCTCAAGCTTATCTAAGCTAGTAAAGTTATAAAGGTTTTATTCAGAAGTTACTATTAAATTATAGTGTTAAATAACTATTTGATTTGCTAGCTGACATAGTTCATAATAATAAATTATAAGTATAATTATTTAACTATTATAAAGTATAATGAATTACTATAAGCATAATTAATTAGTTAACAGGGTATAAATTAATTCTGAAATAATTATTATAGCGCATATTGTAAATAAACTATTTTAAAACAAAGTTCAATTTATTTGAAATGTTTGTTTGGATATTTTTTTTCAACTTATTTTTATATCAGATAAATGGGAGAAAGGGAGTAGAAATCGTTGGAAAGAGAAACTGTATTCAAAGCAGGCCCGTTGTTATAACTTTCGTTAGCACATTATATTTTCAGGATATGTTGCTTAAGGTGCAAACAACATATTTATTCATAAATTGACCATGGTATGATTTGCTAAGACGAATCCATGAGTCGTGAGTATACGTATAGTTTTGGGCAAACGTTACGGCTTTTATGGCATCAATATTAATACTGTACTGAATATACGGATAGCTAGCCTTAGCCGTAGAGTTTGTTATTGTTTTAGAGTTTTGGTCTGTATTTTGGGGGGAATTTCAATCTCAATTTGGTTTCATTTGAGATGTTTTTTTACTAAAAATTCAATTTAGTACTAGCATATCAAAATCATTTAACTTTAAATTTTAAATTTATAAACAATGTAAATTTTAAGCTCTAATTAATTTGCCACACATTTCTAACCGCTTTTATATCTGACATCCAGTGTCTGGGCGTTGAGGACCCGGTACTCCCGGTTATCGTCGAGGAATTCCTGCACTTTCAGCAATAGAGTGGTGAAGGGCTCGAACTTTGGCGGCACTGGTAACCCAAAAGGAAAGCCAAAAATTAATTTTTAAAAACAAGCAATTGTATCATAAATTCAAATATAATTTTGTAAAAAATAAAACATTAATTAAAATCCATTTATATATCACTATTAGTCTTAACCCCAAACTAACTGTCCATAACTACCTATCAAAGACTAAATGCCTGTCCCACATACTGGCCCCATACTGACCTGTATTGGCCACTACGAGCTCCGGTACGAAATCAAATATGGAAACCTCCTCTGGTGGGCCCCTACATGCCGGTGCTGTGTCCCCAGCAGTAGTCGCGTAATACACCCGCAAACACATCATCTGTTTGTCGCCTATTTCTCGCTGTTTGGGTGTCTCCGTGTCGACCACCCAGTCCTCAGTGGCGTCGTAGTTGACACTCTCGATGTTGAGTAACTGTCCACTGATGGCACCGGTAGTTATGGCTTTGTTTACAGCCGTCACCACATCGTCCAACTGTTCCCAACCTATCTGTTGGTTAAAGTATTTGCAACTTTTCGGCAGAAATGTCTGACAGCCTGTGCGATAGGGGAACGGCATATTAGTATAGCACAACATTTTTCGCACCTTTTTCTGCTACTTATACATCCCTTTCCCTATCAATTATACCTCAAAATAGCTATTTATCTGATTTTAAACCCAATCTCTACTCATAAACGTCTACATAGGTTACAACAACACATGTAAACTCTGCGCTCAAATACCCCAAACCCTCCCTACCCTCCCAAACACTTACCGATAGTCTGTACGTTGAGTTCATTCTTGACCTCCGGCTCGAAGATGTCATCCTTTTTGGAGATCCATAACCTCAAGGCCTTCAATAAGACACACTCATCCCCGTCGTAGTTAATATGGGGCAGTAGTTGCCGCTGAGTGGCCCCGTAGTCAATGGTGTCCAGGTGCTCCGACTTGAACACCAGTGACACTGTCTCACAGGACTCCAGGTGCCATAGCATACGATTCTTGCGTAACCACTCGTTGGCCGTGTCTACCAGTGCGCTGGTATTGAAATGAACACAATTATTAGTACAGAATATTCTGTAATCCTATTCACAGTATTGCTATTGAATTGAATTGTGAATAATTTATGCGTTATTATGAGTTATAATTACGAAACATGTACTGTTTTATTGCATAATAAGCTTATTATTTAGTAGTTTATTATGAAATATAGTTAGCACCCAGCACAGTTGATTAGATTACACTCCTTATAACATAAACTTAAGATTTAATAAAAATAATTAAAGGTTTTGCTACATATTTGTTATAATAACTGTTTTTGTATAAGAAATACAGTGATAATAAACTAATTAGATATTACTATCCAGTACAGTTACTCAAAATAAACTTTAAATAACACAAAACAATAGCTAATAACACAATGTTTACAGTTTTTACGACACATTACATCTCAATAAATGCTATTTACATAAGAAATACTGAAAACCAGACCTAAATCTATTGAGTTTGGAGTTGACATCAATTGTGGCCAAACTGTGGGCGATGTCCACAAACGTCAACTGAGTCCCAGCGGGTATGTCGTGAGACAGGGCTACCGGTCCCATAGCCTTAACGGGTCTGTTGGCAAGAGTGGCGGTCATCCTATTCTTACTTTCCGTAAACACTTTCGTCGGTTTGTTTTGAGCCATACTTAAAGTTGGTTTAAAACTCATGAAAAAACAGATAATTTTAGCCAAAATATACAAAACTTTTACTTTATTTCTATCGCATATACAGTAAAATAAAATCCAAATTCTGTGTTAATAATAATAACTGACTTTTTGAGAGACTATTCTCGTTTATGTCATGTATACCATAAACACATATGAATTTTGCATTCTATGTCTCACACACTGTACTGCATGTCATTGTATATGAAGTTTTCATTTGTTAATTACATGCTATTGATTGCCATTTGGCGTACCATTTAGTGTCAATCCCTATAGTAATACACATTTTAGTGAATAAAACTTTTTTATTTTGTGTTTCACAC